TTTACTCGGATCACCACGACCAGTAAACAAACTTCGTACAATTTCTGCTAGCATGTACAAAGTAATCGCCATAAGTTGCAAACAGAGCTCGAAAATTCTTTGCAAACAACTTCTCCATCAATACGTAGACAGCTGTGCTTCATTCTTGAATCAAAATGGTTTAAACTCACAACTTGCGATAGGATGAGGAGGATCCTAAACGAAGCAACTTGAATAGTAAATATCTGAGCGGAACTCTTGTGCTAAAATATCCTGATTCTTTAGTTTGCTTTTATTGTGTCTAATACGCGTTTTCGTTAGGTACGATTTGATACTGTGGTACAAAGCCAGGGTAAAGGCTCTTAGAGCGTCTAGTTTCTTTTTTGTGTGCAGCTAAGTGCACATAAAGACGTTATGGTGATGTGTTAAATTTGAACGCAATAGAACACGTTTTTCCTCCACCTTGGACTATCTCTTTATAGAGGTGCATTACTTTCTTAAGATATATTTTCGCTCAAACTATTTAACCCGTCTTTCTCTTCACAGCAACAATTTATCAGCTCTTTTAACACTGAAGATTCACCAGAGAGAGCATCTTGTTTACAACTGGGTNTTTCGCTCAAACTATTTAACCCGTCTTTCTCTTCACAGCAACAATTTATCAGCTCTTTTAACACTGAAGATTCACCAGAGAGAGCATCTTGTTTACAACTGGGTAAGTTGAAGACGTTTCAACTTCTTTCCTCACTTATCTTGCCAATATTTGCTCTGGTAACTGTTTTCGTAGAAGTTTGGAAAGAACTTTAATTGTTTACTGCAGGACTTTATAATCTTTGTTTTTACACTGCTATAATAATCACTCTTTGAGAAAGCTTGAAAACAAATAAATACAATACATCTTGTGGCATCAACGCTGATCGGGCGAAAAGATGGCTCCGAAAGCGAGAAGTTAAACGACGTTTGCGGAGAAAAGAAAAGACAGAATAGAGTGCTTTACTTGTCTCTGATCTGTGTAATAACCGCTTTATTTGGTTTACAATAGCAAAGATTTCTTTCAACTACATTTGACAATCTCCTATTTTCAGTAACTTGTGTAATCCGTTAAAGCTAAAGTAAGCTTACTTTTTAATTAAAAGGAAAAGCAAACTTGATTTAATCGTTATAAAATATCTACATTTTTGTGGAGTGAAATATTGTAAATATTTCCGTTTAGATTTTAAAGAAGCAAATTTCTTCCTTTAAGACTCTGAAATTTAAGCATAAACGTTCGGTATTTAGGACTTACAGCAAATTATTGAAAACATACATATTAACAGACATATTAAACACTACAGCAGACCTAATTATTGAAAGCAATATAAAAAACCTGGTTTTCAACAACTCGAAAGCCCAGGAATTACAGCACATGCTCTCGAAAATAAAATCCGCACATTTATGCAAGTATTTCTTCCCTGGTAATTGCATGTCTTACACAGGCAGAAAAAGAACCTGGCAATAATAATTCATTTCTTTCCACAGGCAGACGAATAATTACTTCTAACAGTAATACGAAAAGGACAGAGCTTTTGAGATGCTGTCTTTATCTCACTGCCTACCCTGGATGACTGTAGGCTTAGCCGAGTCTGTTGCTATAGCAACACTCAACCTCTGTACGATCATTGTGTTTATAAGAAACCGTAATCTCCGCAAGCGTAGCACGTACCTAGTGATAAATTTGGCAGTTATAGATATGTTGGTTGGCGGAGTTGATGTTTATAATCTGTTCTATTCGCCTG